GTGCCTCACAGTAGACCATGTTGCCCAAGGCTCTGTCCAGCCTGGCCTTGAACAATGCCAGGGGTGGGGCATCCACAGCTTCCCTGGGCAATCCATTCCAGTGCCTCACCACCCTCACAGTAAACAACTTCATGTTAATTTTCTCATCGACCAACATAATCAAGTCCTTCTCCGCACGGCTGCTGTGAATCTTTTCTCTGCCCAACCTGTAGCTGTGCCTGGGATTGCCCTGACTCAGGTGCAGGACCTTCCGCTTGGCATGGTTAAACTTCATGAGGTTGGTATTGGCCCAGCTCATAAGCGTGTCAAGGTCCCCCTGGATGGCATTCCTTCCAGATGCTCTATGCTTCTTAGGCAGGAAAAAAACAATTCAATTCAGTACTTAATAAATAGTTGGAAGATATAATAAATACCATTTAGCACATTTTAAAGCCCATGAGGAATGATGTAAGTCATCACAGTTTAGCCAAGAGAAACATCTTCTGCCTGTATGATAAAATAACCTCCCACTCATATATCTGGTAGACTCCAGCGTGCCACAAAAAAAAAAAAACAACAACCCAACTTTAGTAAGGGTAAAGATAACTGAAGGAATAAATCAAGGGTCTATTTTAATTTGTGTAGAATTCTTTATAAAAGTGAAACATCTTTCCTGGTGAAGTCAATTAAAAATCAGTTTCCTTTCCTCCTACATGCCTTATTTTGCTATCCCTTTACTGACATAACAGGAGAAGGATCTACAGAAAATCAGGCAAGGAGCCATTTGTTCTCATGTACAGGAAATGAGACAGGAGCTCTGCTCAAGAAATAGTCACCCAAGTCTGCAGGAAGATGTAGCCCCTTCTCACTCTCATCTTTGAGAGCCATCTGTATCTCTGACATGAAAGCCTTTTACCAGGCCCAGCCAACGAGTCAGAGGTGGAACTGCTGATGGAGACCGGTGTCTTCACAGCACTTAACCATGCACCTTTGCTGCAATCTAAGGCTGTGTTGTACTTCCTTTTGGGAACACAAGGAACAAAGAATGGCTTTCTGTCCAAGGCCTTTGCATCTGACAACTGCAGTCAGGTCTCCTTCCTCTCCGTCATAGGCTAAGACCCTTAAATTCTTCCAAAACTCCCTTCTACATTGCTTTCCAGACTTCTGATCATTTATTATTCTTATTGCTAACAATTTCAGTTAACAACTGAATAATGAACTTTTATGAATGAGAACTAAAATGAGAGCTATGCGACTGACACAATTAGAACAGAATTATATATAAATGGTTTTACATGAAATAGAGTAAGAATGGGAACTTATTTGTTGGTCCAAAAGTAAACACAAGTGTCCTCAAAATAATACCCCAGATGAGTAGTGCTGAGTACAGCTAACTATGCTAGTGTTACATGTCGAAAGCCCATTATTTCTAACTTCTGCAAGTAATCTTTTTTTTTTTTTCCCTATGGTTTATCACAATTTAAGAGTAGTTTCTTAAAAGAAAACGGGCTATGAAAAAGAAATGGGGCTGTGGAACTGATGGACAGGGGTAGAGCAGTTGACGTCATCTACCTGGACTTGTATAAAGCGTTCGACACTGTCCCACAAGACATCCTTGTCTCTAAATTGGAGAGACATCAATTTGATGGATGGACCACTCGGTGGATAAAGAACTGGCTGGATGGCCGCACGCAAAGAGTTGTGGTCAATGGCTCAATGTCCGGCTGGAGACCAGTAACGAGTGGTGTCCCTCAGGGATCGGTGTTGGGACCGGTCTTGTTCAACATCTTTGTCAGTGACATGGACAGTGGGATTGAGTGCGCCCTCAGCAAGTTTGCCGATGACACCAAGCTGTGTGGTTCGGTTGGTACCCTGGAGGGAAGGAATGCCATCCAGAGGGACCTTGACACACTTGTGAGGTGGGCTGATGCCAACCTCATGAGGTTTAACCATGTCAAGTGCAAGGTCCTGCACCTGGGTCGGAGCAATCCCAGGCACAGCTACAGGTTGGGCAGGGAAGAGATTCAGAGCAGTCCAAGGAGAAGGACTTGGGGGTGTTGGTCAATGAAAAAATGAACATGGGCCGGCTTCAGTGTGCGCTTGCAGCCCAGAAAGCCAACTGTATCCTGGGCTGCATCAAAAGGAGCGTGACCAGCAGGGCGAAGGAGGTGATCCTGCCCCTCTACTCTGCTGTTGTGAGACCTCACCTGGAGTATTGTGTGCAGTTCTGGTGTCCTCAACATAAAAAGGACATGGAACTGTTGGAACAAGTCCAGAGGAGGCCACGAGGATGATCAGGGGACTGAAGTACCTCCCGTATGAAGACAGGCTGAGAAAGTTGGGGCTGTTCAGCCTGGAGAAGAGAAGGCTGAGTGGAGACCTCATAGCAGCCTTCCAGTATCTGAAGGGGGGGATGCTGTGGAGGGACTCTTCATTAGAGATTGTAGTGATAGGACAAGACGTAACAGGTTCAAACTTAAACAGGGGAAGTTTAGATTGGATATAAGGAACGAGTTCTTTACTGTAAGGGTGGTGAGGCCCTGGAATGGGTTGCCCAGGGAAGTTGTGAATGCTCCATCCCTGGTGGTGTTCAAGGCCAGGTTGTACAGAGCCTTGGGTGACATGGTTTAGTGTGAGGTGTCCCTGCCCATGGCAGGGGGGTTGGGACTAGATGATTTTAAGGTCCTTTCCAACCCTAACTATTCTATGATTCTATGAAAAGTGTTCATTGGTTGTATATGAAGTTAATTTTGTATATCGTTTTTGAAAAACTGGATTTCAAATAAGCTTAACATCTAGTTACAAATTAACAATAGGCAAAGTGAGTCCCTAAGAGTGAAGGAATATTAATAGTGACATAAACATATGGAATTAAGTAAAGTTAGTCTCATGGCCACTAATTATTCCCAGACAGAACAATGGTAGTTTGACTCCAGAACCCATCGCATGCAACTTTCTGGTATATGGTTTATAGATTTATTTGGAGATATCTACAGTGAACTTTAGATATTTTTTTTTTTCCTCTTCTGGGTTTGATATAACAGTTATTTATCATTTTCTTTCTACTGCTGTATTCCTGATGGGCTGATTTTTTGCATTAACTGCTTGTGGTACATTGGCACAATGTTTTCAGCTGCTGTGCAGAGTCCCTAACCCAAACTATTTGAAAGTGGCATTCACATAGAGAAATGTTGGATTTTTTTTTTTTTCTTGAGGAATGGGCACAACAGTAACACCCGTAGCCCACCTCTCAAGGGATAAATCTACCTTCATGCCAAAGAAAGAACCCAGTTTGAGGGGTTTTGTTGGGGTGTTTTCCTGTGAACATTTAAAATAGAGTGAAAACTGCACGTGATTCTGGGGAAGGTGTGAATCCATCTTCAAATTAAACATCTGAATTGAATTCATGTGGGAGAAGACAGTAGAAATAGAACCACAGAGTTAAGCAGTTCATCTAAAAGCTGAATTGTGTCAGATGAGAAAGCACTGACAGTCCTGTCAGCACTGGAATGTGTCTGCAGTTCCAAGGAGAAAAAATAGTACAGTGACTGAAGCTGAAGTCAGTGAACACTGTTCACAAACAGAACTCAACAGTGCAAATGACCATTACCTCCTCCTTTGTGTCAGGATACACATCAGGCCAGATGAGGGTGATGTTTATAGCAAACGGGACACAAAATTGTGATGGAACGTCTTATGCGTAATTATTATCAAAGTATTTTTATTGTGTTTTCATACTCAATTCTCAAACTCTCAGGAGAACTCTCAATCTCCTGAAGAAAGCAAGTTTTTGTATGACCTTGGCATATGCATTGGGGTGGGGAGGGAATCCAGTTGACGGTTATAAAGGAACATTAATAAGCATTCTTCATAACAAAGCTTGATTATTTTTTAAAACCCCAAAACTATACAGTGTCTTTTAAAAATTACAGGAAAATAGTATGTGAAGTGTTTTTATACAATAAATAATCTATTTTCCATTAATGTACAAAATCAGCTGTATACCAAGAAATTGATACAAATGCAATAACTGAAAGATATATTTAATTTTATAACTATAATAATTTATGAAATATATCCACATATATATAAAATATATATATTTTGGCAAAGACCTCCCTTTGTTGTTTCAAACAAAGTCTGTTACCACTGTTTTAAGCTTACATACAACCACGTCTGCTGTTAATGTATTTTCATTTTATTGTTGGTCTCCATCATTCTTACGTGAAAATATAATTTAATGTCATCGGGTTATTTAACCTTTGTGCTCTGGGGAAAGTCTGTGTGAAGGTCAGTCAAACAAAAGCATCTGTAATGTCACAAGTAAGAGATTTCCTCTCTTTTTTTTTTTTTAAATAATACAGAACAGGATTTGCAAAAGGTACTTTTTTTTTTCCAGCTTACTCTTGCATCCTCCTATCAAAGTCCATAATTTCTAAAGAAGTCATTCACAAACGTTAAGGGCTGGATATAATCCTTATTGCCAAGTTTCTGAGTTAATCAGTGATGATGTTTCAATGAAGAGATAAAAATGTGATTTTTATAGTACTAGCAAAGAGGAATGTGGATGAGAACTTATGTAGGGGCTTAGAACAGCACATGGTCCAGCACAGTGAGTTAGTCTGATTGTATGACGTTTCATTTGAAGTTCCACAGTCCTACCCTTTCATCTACAGGAAATTCTTTGGGATGAGTAATTGGAGTTCTGTTCGTCAACTACAGTGCATCTAGTGTAGAAGTTTTTGAACAGAACTTTGAAGTGCAGGAATAATTTGTGCCTAAATTAGGTAATCCATTGAATACTCAATGTATACTTTTGACTTGCTGTAGTTTATAATATTTATAATAGCCATCCATCTTTAGTCTGCATAGATGCTGTCATTTAAACATCTGCCACAAAGTTAAAATATGATAATTCAGGCTTGCATACATTAACAAGAGCAAGATTTTGTATCAGTTTATTCTTCATGAGAACTCATGTATAGGCAATCTGTCTAACTCATCACATTCTCCAGTTACAGTTGCCTGCATGAAGCTGGGGATGGATTCTTCAGACACAGAGTGAGCAGTAAGTGGCACAGTAAGTTTCTGTTGTTCTTCTTTAAATTGCATAGAAAAATGTTTCTGAAGCTTTGTATTGATGAAGTTCAGATCTGCCTTTGAATTCTTCAATAGTGATACATTCCCTGCCAGGTTATGTGATAAATATTACCCTTTACTGAGACTCTTGCGAGAGGAGCATGGGAGAAAGCTTCTTCATATATGTTTACATGCCCTCAAAGTGGCATTGTTGAAATGAAAGTGTTGCACTCTGATGAATTCTCCACTGGCATCAGACTGAAGCATCAAGTTTGTCCATCTCAAGGGAGGGCTGTAGTTTAAGTTCTTGCTTCTGAGCTTCAGCACATAAACATTAAAGCTCTAAAAACAAAACAAAAAACTGCCTAATTATTCAGACTAACTGCCTGTTATCTGATAGAACTATGGTTCATCTCCTTGACTGTGCACAGTAAATACTACCCAGTTGTCTAATTGCCTCTGATCACATAATCATAGCGATAAATTCAGCCTGGGGACTTCTAATCCAAGTGCTTCCCTTCATAGCAAAAAATTTTGACTAATGGTGTGATTAATTACTTTAAAAAGAAACAAACAATTTGTCTAGTTCTAATGGCCTACAAGTAGTTGCTTATCCTGACATCATATCGCATTTTGTATGTAGCAATAGCATTAAGGGTAGATTTGGAACTTGGAACTTTCTGAAACTACCTATAGGGTCTCAGTAGCCTCCTTATATCTAATATCTAAACTAAGTTTATTTTTCCCTCCAAATACTATATCCACAAAGTTTGTTCTGCTTCTTTACCTTGACAGTTTTACTGAAGCACTGCACAGGGACATGTAGCTGAAGCTGTTGCAGTGCTAAATGAATGAGATAGAAACAGCCCATGCCCTAAAAAATAATAGAAAACAGGGGACTGTTGCCAAAATATGTATCGGCTTATAGCCAAAGAATCCAACTTTTAAAGGAGCTACATCAGCATGAGGAAAGCTAGAGTAGTTCTGTGTATACTAGAGGTTATTTAGGAAAAACAGTAATTGAAAAAAAAACACTAAAAAAATAAAATCCCAAACAAGTCCTGAGCCAGATTCTGCCCTTATGTAGCAAGCACTGATAGTACTCAGTTAAAAAAATGTAGTTTTGCAAATATGAGGAAAGTTTATGTAATGTTTAATGTTGAAAAGAAATACTAGTATCTGTAGCATACCTGACTGTTCAGAATCCTCTGAACTCTCTGCGCTACTGGATCAAAGTGTGTTCTTCCCTGCCCTGGTCTTTCTCCCCTGTCTCTTTCATTGATCCATGATTTCTGGAAAAGAGAGATTGCCACTGTGTTCTCATCAATTATCCTCACAGAGCCATTCATAAAATGACAATGTCATTTCACTCGTTATTAGATTAGATAAAACTTAAACCACTCTAAAACAGTGCATGACCCTAACTGGACAGGAGATCTGCCGTTTCAAAAATACCGCATCATAAAAAGAAACAGCAAATAGCATTACTGCAGCAGGCTTGGCCTCTTTCCTTCACCTATTAAACTCTCCTGGTTGTGAGACATGAGTTTTCTCGCTGTTCTTCCTGTTAACTCCCCCATCCCTCTTAAGCGGGAAGTGAGCAAGCAGCTGTGTAAGTGCTTGGCTGCTGGCCAGGGTTAACTCACCACAACTGGAGAGGAGAATGTTTATTTAAAAATCAATCTATTTGTTAATCGGTTTCATATGATACATGCAACTTGACTAATTCACCTCTGTGCAACAGCGAATCATGTTTGACTATTTGAAGTTTGCAATATTAAGAAAAGCTACTCACCTTCTTCTGTATTGCATTCTTCTGCAAAACTGCATACACTGTTCGTCATGAGCATTCATACAAGAACACCTATTTGAAGACTGGAAAGTATTTTGAATCTGCCCTGTAGATCTTTTGCCTCTAAAATTGCCTTTGTAGTTAGACAGCCCATACGGCACAGTCCTCCTGTTGTAAGAATCACAAATAATGGTACATTTTAGGAGCCAGTTAAAATTATATTCCATATATTTTCTGGTTTGAAAATAGATCTCTTGATGCAAAGCAATAAATAGCAGCACAAAAATGAAACCATATGCTTATGTAAGAAGTTCCCCCAGTAACAGATCACAACTTCTGCTCTTCAACTCAGGCTTTCACGCAGTTCTAAAGTAGCAGACAGCCAGCTCAACCGGTAGAATTAATTGGCAACTACACTGGCTACCTAAAACAATTATTACCCAACAGCTGATACAAATACATCCCCAGGTTATTGCTTCTTCTACTGCTTATTCTTTACCTTGTTGGCTCCCTAGCCCACCCCCCCAATCCACAAAATGCATTCTGTTCAGCACTGCAGCTGGTATGATGTGAAAAAGGAGCTGTGCTGACTTCCCCCAGATAAATAATACCATATCATTGTGTCATCCTCATGATTCAGAGCCTGATCCGCCGTTAATTTTATCACTGAGAAAAGCAGAAAACTGTAAGCATGACTTATTGCACCATGGTTGGATCATGACCTATGGAGTTACAAATGTGAAAAACAGCTAGATTATCTCCCTTGTACGTATCTACTAGTGCTTTTCTACAAGGAATCGTATTCTGTGCTGCAGCACACCGAGAAATAGTAAGAGGTAGTTCTCTTTATTTCCCTGTAATCTGGCATGCTCTGTTCTTTAATAGGTTGGAGTCGATGTTATTATCGGAAAAGGACACGGTTCTAACATCTGCCTGCTAACATCCCCAAAAAGCATTGGATAATGTCATAAATTATTCTCCTACAAGTTGTTAAACAATCTCAACTGATAGCAGGCGTACACCACGTGGAACTTCTGGAGACCCATAAACATTCCTGTGTACTTGAGGGATGGGCTAAGCAAGCCACAAAGCCACAAACACTAAAAATCTGTCCAGAATTTCATAATTCAAAGGTGAAAGGGGGGGGGGGGGGATGGATAAATAAAAAAAAAACAACCAACCAACCAAGAGGCAGGGAAGAGGAAATCAGGATAAGTAAGGCTAGATCTGGGAAGGTTACAGAACAAAGCCTGAATAATCAGTCTGGAACCACGAATCACATACCTGTAATTCTTTCATCTGCTTTCACAAAAACATCATTAGGCTATTAATGGGAAAGGTGCAAATATGCTATTTTCCTACACTCATGGTGGGCTGAAGGTCCAGAAACACTGTTTTCTTCATTTCTGCTATAATTTTTGATGTAACATCAGTGCAGTTGATGTAAAGAATTTCTTCAAATCTCTGCACTTACAGTATGTGTGAGCTTGTACTAGAGCAGTGCATCTTTCACAGCTTGAACCAAAGCATACCTACCGTGTAGAAATTTATCATAAAGTCATGCTGGAGTACAGAAAATCCTGTGTGTCAGAGAGCATGTGATGGTGTTTCTCGAGCACGTGCTGGTCTGCTGCCCCTATATGCACACACTGTTGTGTATTTTCACTACTTTATTCTGTGGCTGTGCCTAGACACTGGGAGAGACCTTAAAAGACTTCAGAACTCTTGGCTGCCCCTTCTCAAACAGTCATTTAAAACGCTCTTCATTGTCTTCAGGATTAGGGATGAGTCCCATGTTGTAAGTGACAAGTATTAATAATTCTGTACTTCCATGTACCTTAGAATAGTGAATGCCAAACAGCTAATGTAGGTAACTTCTGACAGAAATAACTGCTATATGGTCATATTTTTTTATACATTCCTTGTTTTTATGAATTAATGACCATAATTCTCCCAATATGCCTGGTTTTGATTTCTAATCAAAAATTCAAGCCCAAAACAAATAAACTTCAATAGCAACCCAGAGGCTTTCAACAATATTCATAACAAAGAGCTAAAATATCATAGATGTTTTCTTGCCTGTCAGCTACTCTGATGCAACTGATAAATCGCATCATTTAAGCAAATGTTAGTGTGTGTATGACTATCATTCCAGACGCTGAAAACACTAATATTTCAAGTTAGTTCATGCTTCTTTCTCAGAAGTTCAGAAGTGAGATACCAAAGAGATTCAGCTGAACAAGTATCAGAAGCATTTACCTAGCAGTATGCTTAATCTTAGGTTGCTACATGTGTTACCTGTTGCTTTTTATATTCTTTTTTTATGAGGCTGCAATGCTCAGGTTCAAACTGAAGCAATTTCAACACGCTGAATGAGAATTATTGTCAAAATTTAGTTGTCACCAGGCTTCTGTGACACTACTCTGTTTTCCATTCCAGCTGAGGCATCTCTTTTCTTTAGCCAAAGCTTGCTGACTTCAGTATGCACAGGACAGTTTGTGTCTCTGCAGTGAAGATGAGAAACATCTGAACTAGGCAGAGTTAGCCATCTGCAAAGCTTTTGGGGATCCTGAACAACCAGTTCCCTTACGCTGTGTTCCTTGTGGTTGCAACCAGATCCCTGGACAAAGTACCAGCTAAGAGCCATTTACAAACTTCTTGGATATTTCTACCCCAAATCCACAGATTTAAAAAAAACAACAACAACAACAACAACAACAACAACAAAAAAACAAACCAAACAAAAACAACCAAAAACCACCAAACCAAAACAAACAAAAAAAAAAACAACAAAAAAAAAATCCTGAAAAACTATTCACAGGAAATTTTGAATTTCTGACCTTTAACTCTGTGAGCACCACTTTTTCCTTTAGGAGAACAAAATTCTCCTGAAGCCATGAAATGGGCTTCTACATATTTAAAAGCTAAGGTGCACTGTGTATCCTTTATGCCTTTGCTCTCTACAAAGTGGAGAACAAGCAAATCTATGCAACTCCGGATCAGCCTTCCCATGGTGCTACATTGAACTGGTATCTGTGTGGCACCTCTGGGGAAAGCAACCCTCTGTTGTAGAGTTCAGTTACCACTACGATTATTGCGGCCAGTGAGTAGGTGCACACAAGGCTGCATCTTCAGTTTTAAAGCACTTTTTAAATTACAGAAAGTCTGATTTTAAGCAAATAGCTGCTTCTTCAGTATAAGATACTTTTTCTTTATTCCAAATGCAAAGAAAGAAGATGCTAATGTAACTCTCCACTACCTAGAATTATTCCAAATGATAAAATTAGTGCAACAGATCTGTTAATTGAAGATAATTCCATGTATAATATAGACAGCACAAAGCCAATCAAAGCACCGTGTGCTCTTGTCCATTGCAAAATACTTTGGATTTCTGCAGTAGAAGGAACACACAGCAGTCTTTAGGTCAGACAATGTTTCTCCTAGAATTTTAAAAGAAAAAAGCGTAGCTCCAGATTGGATACTCAGATGCTGAAATAACCTATATTATTTCTGTACTTTGTGTCCACAAAAATACAGTCATCAAAGCTCTTCCCCTAAAAGTCAGCTAGCTTTTGAAGCAAGTTTTTGCCCTTGAACTATTAGAAGGAGGCGTCTGTTTGTTGAAAAAGACAAGAAATACCAAGGAATAGTGAAACAGCCATCCTGAACCAGTGATCTGAGTGGAAATTTCACACAGGAAACAAACTGCCCCTTGAATAACTGCTACCTTCAAGTTTAATTGGGAAATGTGATTTGCCTAAGTCCAGCTATCCCTCATTTATAGTCAGTGTTCAGATCCAATTCAGACAATGTTCACACATTTTCAGTGAATGTTCAGACAAAACCAATTATTTAAATTTTTATTACGTGTGGCTGAGTTTCTCATGCTGTGTTATAACTGACCTGTGTGCTCCTATTATTTTCTACTTTCCCAGCCACTTAAACACAGTAGATACCTCCAGGGCACTTGAGAGTTTCAGCCAAAACAAAGGGATGAGGGGGTTGCAGCAATCATCTTAGATGCTGTGATTTCAGTATTCAGCAATATATTTTCTGGCGTGCATCCAGGCCAGCAAGGCTCCCAACAGTCTTCAATGTTTCCAGACAATCTTAAAATGCATGAGATCCCTGTAACGACCACTGAGAACAAAGAACATGGAAAGGAAGCAAAATTTATCATCCTCCAAGTGAAACAAAATGTCTCCAGAATGAAAAAGGCTTGGGGAAATAAAAGATATTTCTGTATATACTTTCACATATAGCTACTGCAGTAGTATTGTATAGCTCTGAAGTGATCACTGGCTGCTCTGACAGTTTTGGCTCCAACTCTTTCTGTAACAGGCATACTTTTTAAGAGTAGTTCACAGTAGGTGCACCTCCCATATTATCCCTTCCTTCCCATCGTCATCGTTTAAGAAGTAAAAACATCTTCAAAGAAGTGCCTGCCTTGTGTCATCCTAACCACATGCTCCATTCACAGAAGCTGTACTTTCTCCAAGTAGCTTTTTGCTGCAAAACTATTTTCAGAAGAAACAAACTTTTATCCTTTATAGCCATGCCTGTATTTTCCACATCCTCAATTTAGTAGTAGTCAGCATTTCTGAGGACCTACGTTAGTTCGTTATTTATAACTATCTCAGGTAACTAGCCAAGGATTGCACATATCTACTTCACCATCCAGTCTCACTGATTACAGGAGTTCTTTGATTTCCCTCCCACTGGGACTTCATGGTACTCAAGTTATATATTGTGAGAGATTCTGAAAGCTTTTTATCACTAGTCACCCTTCTCCTGTAGGTGTCAAAATGATGTTACATGTTTCCTTTTTGAAATATGATCAGAAAAATATCTGAGTTGTTGAGTGAAAAGCTGGGCTACATTTCTTGAGGTAAGCAGTATGAAGCAGGCATGGGAGGGAGGGGTTATTCCATGAACACCCCAAATGCCCAGAGAGGCTGGGTAGAGCTCATCTGATCTAATAAACTGAGCCACTGTTTCACAGAAATACTTCTCTCAAAACAACATTGCCTATATTCTCATTCCAATCCTAACTTGTTCCCAGTTTAGTGGCAAGATACACGATTGTTTAAATAAATAAGGGAAATCCGGTGCAGAATTTTCTGTCTGTGAGGCCCAAGTTCCCATTATTCCTCTTCCTCTGGTTGTCA